GGATTCACTGTTTTGGGCTAAGCTGTAACTTTAGTGTCTTCTTTTCTCTTTTTCTTCTTTTTTTCCTTTTATGAGGCTCTTTGTGGCTCTTGGAAGATAAGTGTGTTTGTCTTCCTCCTGTAAATTTTCTACTGATGATTTAATGAAAGTGTTATTGATCAAAAAAAAGGTTTGGAGGAGAGAGGGATAAGTTGTGGACTAAGGTAATCTTGAGCATTCATGGTCAGGAAGATGATGGCTGGGACACTCGAACTGTGGTAAGGTCTATTAGCCTCCCCTTAGAAATCTATACATGCCATTCTTCCGTCCTTTTTGCAACACATTAGGTATGACCTCTATTCTGGGAGCATATTTGGGTGGATGATGTACCTTTAAAGGACCAATTTCCGTCTTTATTCTCCCTCTCCCGATACAAAGGTAAGGTTGTGTCTAATTTTCTAGTCCCATCTGAGTCAAACTTTGGTTTTGATTGGGATCTAGGTTTTAGGAGAGGAATAAGGGATTCAAAAATTGAGATTGTCATGAACCTGATCCAATTATTGAATCGGGTGGTGTTGGATACCTCTGAGGGGGATAAGAGAGCTTGGACTCTTACCCCCTCCAGAACCTTCTCTTGTGCTTCCTTTTTTAAGTCCCTTTTGCCTTCAACCAATAACTCTACAAAAAAATTTTCCAGCAAAGGAGGTTTTGGGATGAGCCGATCCCTCCAAGGGTTGGAGCTTTTTGTTGGAAGCCTTTTTGGAAAGACATAATACCTGTGACTTACTTCAAAGAAAAAGGCCTTTTTGGTGCTTGTCTCCTAATTGGTGCATTCTTTGCAAGTCTAATGGTGAAAGCTCCTACCACTTATTAATTTCTTGCCCTTTTGCTTCTGATTTTTGGGACTAATTTCTTTCTCTATTTGGTTGCAGGTGGACTCCTCCGTCGGATATTCAAAGCTTGTTTAGTCCTTTCCTTAGATGGCCTAAGAAAAGGGGACGGATTTTGTGGAGGTGTGTGAGGGCTGCTATATGCTGGACTTTATGGGAGGAAAGGAATTACAGGACTTTCTCTGAAAGTGAAAGAAATAAAGATGGTATTATTGAAGTAATAATAGTTAGGGTGGTGCAGTGGTTAAAATCTTCGGACCTGTGTTATGACGTCTCTATGGAGATTTTGCTGAATAGCTGGGTAGAGGTGGCAAATTCTGCTCTTGCTCATTCTGTTGTGTATCTTGTATGGTCACCACCAGACCTTGGTTTTATAAAGTTAAATTTTAATGGGAGCAACGAGAGCAATCCAGGTCCTTCAAGTGTAAGAGGGATCTTCAGAGATGAGAATGGGAGGGTGATTGCAATGTATTCAGGTCCCATTGGGGATTGGGACTCTCTTAGAGCTGAGGTTTATGCTTCACTGGAGGGTATACGGAAGGCAAAGAAGCTGAATATACAAAAGCTTGTTGTTGAAGGTGACTCTAAGCTAGTTACAGAAGAATAGTGGGCTATGGAAATTTGCTAATGAGAGGAGGGAAATTAAATGGCTAACTAGGGGGCTGGAAATCCAGTTTCAGTGGGTGTAGAGAACAGCAAATGCCTTTGTAGACACTTTGGCAAAGCAGGGGGTGGGAAGGGATCAAATATTTTGGGCTGTATTGTAATTTTTTATTTTGTTCTCTGTGGGAGAGTTAAGTCTTTTTACCTCTCTCTGCAGTGTTGTAATTATTTTTCTCCTTAATTTAATGTGAATTTGTTATTGATCAAAAAAAAATAACAAGGGTAATGAAGCTTCTCCAATCCAAACTCCTAGTATGCCAACTTTTCTTTGGCCTATTATCCTAATGTGGTCAGACACTTCAGTAGGCATAAACGCCATCATATTATTCAAGATTCTAAAGTTTTCGCCAGGTTGAAATGAGGTTTGTTCAGGATCAGGCCTATTAAAAAGGTGAAGAAAGCCAAAATAAGGTCTCAAGAGAAGCTTTGAGGCTCTTGCATTTACCTCTGAAGAAGCTGAATAATTTAATAAAGTGCTGGGTGGCTTTAGGGAAGTTCAAAGTTTAGTTGGTTTGATCTTCTTTTGTTTGTTTGCTTTGATAAGGTTGAAGGTCAGGTGGTTTGGTGGTATATCATGTATTTTAGAGTCGTTAGTCGTATTAGATCGTGGGGCTTTATTTTATTGTTGGTTCTGGTTGGTGTGTTCAGCTTTTTCTCTTGGTATGGTGTTTTAATGTTTTGGCTGGGCTTGCAGGTTTTGAGACATGTATGGGTGAAGGCTTCTTTATCTTCTCTCAGGTGAGTTATCCATTTTTAGATAATAAAATTCTCCAGAATGAATGAAAAGGCCATCACACAATGCCGGTCCCAGGTATGTGGGGTCTTGAGAGAGGTGGACTGCATATAGACCTAACATTTGGTGGGCTGCCCCTATTCCCTAGAATAATATGAATCAGACTAAAGGAAGGGAAGAGAGAGAGAGAGAAAGAGAAACATTACTTTGCCACCATAAAAGAGCACTTTATATGAACAAAATATCATTTAATTTCCTGTAATAATAGCCTTCATTTTATGCTGAGAATATATATTGGAACAGTAAAGGCAAACAACTCCATACAAGTCTTGAGTGATATGAAAGGTAAATGATAATAAACCTTTTTCTCCTTTTGAATCTCTGACACAACACCAGCAATTCCCACCAAAGACTTTGAGCTTGTCAGATGGATGCTGAGAACACTGTAAAGAATATCATATCTCAGGATGCAATGCTTTAATTGTTTGTATGCTTGTGAAAATAACATAAACATGTAAAAGGAACAGAGCTACATAAAGACAACAAATACTTGGTGCTCAAAACATTTAAACCCAATACGGACATGTTTTCCGTTGAATGCTAAGAAAAACATACTTTGAAGATATCTCTCATAATTTTTATTTAAATTATTTTAGAAGTCATAACAGGATATAACTTATTGAAGTTTTTAATGGAGGAAAACTTCTCATATGCCTGTGGTATTCATGCCAGTTTTTAATCCAGATTAACTTGTTAACTGTGGTGAATAAACCATGTTTCTTCTTCCTGCTTTGGTCCTGTTTCTTGGTGGTGGTTCTGGGAGAAAGTAATGGATTGAAGAATTTTCAGAAGAATTTTCAGCACAAATAGTAATACATCAGAACATTAAGATATCTTTGCTAACCCACCCATTAATTAATGGTTTGGGTTGTAACCATTTATCCTGGGTCGCTAGCAGGTTAGTTAACCCAATAAAGTGCTATTTAATGGATTGGGTTCGGCTGGGTCATGGTTATCCAATGGGTAACCACTATCTCCCCCTCCCCCTCTCTCTCTCCAACACCTCAAAATGTCATTTCTCTCTCTCTCTACTCATTTTAATTCTGCAACTCTATTCTCTCTTTCTAGCGTATAATCAAGTCACTTTTTTCATTCAGCACCAGATCCTCTCTTACTAATCAATCCCATCTGAACATCAAAAAAGAATTGAAAACAATTGGAGCATGTGAAGACGAACAAATTTTAAATCTTCCTTTTCTTATATTTTTAATGTTGGCCATGCCTGCCTCCTTTGGGATCCTTAAGAGGTCAGGCCCGACACGGCCCATGGAATGAGCCCAGGCAGGCCTGGGCCGGACTTTGGGTTAGGCGGCCATAAGAGGCCTATTTTTTCTAAACGAATTGAAAAAACAGTGAAAATTTTTAAATAAATTAACAAAATAGACAAAATTGAAATATATCTATATTAATATATTATATATTATAATTATTATTACATATATATAATTATTACATATACATATATATATGTATATAATTACATAATTATTATATATAATAATATAAATATAAATATATATAGTTGTGATGAGCCATGTTGCGGGCTGGGACATGGGCCCATGGCAGCACAGCCCACTTTGTCATGCCGTGCCATGCTAGCCTGTGTGCTTGAAAATCGAAGCCCGGCACGGCCTAGAGATATGGGCTGGGCCGCAGCATGGCCTGCATGCTACAGTAACGGGTTGGGCCCAACACAGCCCTATTTACACCTCTATGCAAGAGTCTTCATCAATTGGTGTTGAATAAACCTGTTCATGGGCTGTGTTTCATTGGGTTTGGGTCGAGCTTTGCCTCTTTATTAACAGAAAATGTCTAGGCCCGAGTTCGAGCCTGACCCTTATATAAAGCCCAAAGCCCAATTTGAACATAAAAGCTCTTACCTATGGAGTATTTTTTGTTATTTTTATTTTCTATGTTTGTTTATAATCTTTGTTATATTTTCCTATAATTTTTGTTATTTTTTCATTGTCTATGTTTATTTATAATTTCTGTTATATTTTCTTGTAATTTTTTGTTTTTATGTTTTTTATAAATTTTGTTATATTTTCTGTAATTTATATATGCAGGATTAATGGGTTGAGCGGGTTGGGTTGGGTTAAGGCAGTTTTGGGTTGAACCCAACCCATTTAAAGTTTCCTAACCGAGTCATTTACGGGTTAGTGGGTCAGATAGGTTGGATTGAAGCATAACCCAACCCGCCCAATTGCCACCCCTAATTGTGCTCTTTTCCCATTCACTTGATAACATAACACGTGTGTATGTGGCCAAGTGTTTGAATGAGGCTAGCGCCACAGCCATGAAACAATAGAGTAGGCTATTCATTACATTATATGCTGCCAAGTATGCTATTCATTTTAACTAGGCTATATGAAAAACTGATTAAGTTATCCTGATTCCTGATACTATATAATGCTTACACCATTTGACTCTATTAACAGCCGAACAGAGGAGAAGAGAGGTAGGAGAAGAGAAGAAGAAGAGAGGAGAGAAGAGAAGAGAGAGAAAGGACCCTTATGCCCCTACTTAAGTTACAGCATAAAAAACAAAAGAAAAAACTGCTTTAATTTGTCCAAACGGACCCTAACTCAGCAGAATACAAACATAATAAATAAAGTTAACATTCCAACAAACTCCAAGGATACATATTCCACAGGTGCACTGGTCTTCAATGATAATACTAGTGCCACTCTTTCCAAATGGCAAGTGAAAACGCAAAATGTTGCATGGTTTATGAATTGTGACCCATATATTTTTTTTATTAATTGTAGGTTTTCAAGACTGCTATTCAGTCTTGATCACTAAGAGATTTCAGGTTCGATGAGAAGAGAAAGTGAAGAAGATGTAGAAGAAAGAGTGATGGAAGAATAATAGAACACAGATTTTGAGGAGAAGAACAGAATGTC